TTGGCTAAGGGTGTGTCAATTGTTTTTATTCTTTCAAAGAACAAACTCTTGGCTTCGTTGATTTTTTGTTTTATTTTCTTAGTCTCCATTGCATTGATTACTGCCCTGATCTTTATAATTTCCTCCTTTCTATGGGCTTTGAGTTTGTCCTGTTCTTCAGAAACTTGAGCTTCAGCATCAGGTTGTTTAATTGGGCTCACTCTGTTTTCCTAATATGAGTATTCAGTGCTATGAATTTCCCTGATAAGAATGCTTTCATTGTGTCCCACAGATTCTGATGTGTTGTATTGTCATTGTCATTTAGTTCAAGGAAGTGTCTTCTTTCTTCTTTAATTTCCTCTGTGACCCATTGGTTATTTAGAAGTGTTTTGTTCAATTTCCATGTGTTTATGAAGTTTTTGAGGTCTCTTTTGCTATTGATCTCCAATTTCATCACACTATGGTCTGATAATGTACAGGGGATAACTTTAATTCCTTTGCACTTACCTAAACTATGTTCTATGAGCAAGTATGTCGTCTGTTTTGGAGAACAACCCATGTACAGCTGAAAAGAATGTGTATTCTGATTTGTGTGGTGAAACACTCTAAACATCTGTTAAGTTCATTTGTTCAAGAGTTTGATTGAGTTCTATTTCTTTGTTTGCTTTTTGTCTAGTTGATCTATCTATTTCTGACAGTGGGGTATTGAGGTGCCCCACTACTATTGTTTTAGGGCTTACATGATTTTTCATGTCCATTAGTATTTGATTTGTATAGTTGGGTGCACTAGTGTTTGGTGCATAGATATTTATGATTGTCATCTCTTCCTCTTGGATTGTTCCCTTTACAAGGTTATAGTGTCCTTCTTTGTCTCTCATAATCAGTGTGGGTTTGAAATCCACTTGGTCTGCAAAGAGGATAGCTACTCCTGCTTTTTTTCAGGTAGCCATTGCATGGAGTATTGTTTACCACTCTCTAACTTTCAGTCTATGTATTTCTTTTTAAATTAAGTGTGTTTCTTGTATGCAGCATATTGTTGAATCTTGCTTCTTGACTCATTCTGCCAGTCTTTTTCTTTTGATTGGTAAATTGAGACCATTAACATTGATATATAACTGATATGTATTGACATATCCTTGTTATGACTTTTTCTTTTTGTTTGATTCTCCCCCTTGGCTTTTAATTTCTTGTCATGCCCAGTGGATTCATTCTGCTGAGCTTCCTGGCATTGTGATCCTCATTATCTTTTCCTGGGATTTTGTCTAAAATTTTTTGTAGTGCTGGTTTGGTATCCATGAAGTTCCTAAGGTGCTCTTCATCATGAAAGTATCTGATTTCACCATCAATTTTGAAAGATAGTTTTGCAGGATGCATCAATCTGGGTTGGAGATTGTTTTCCTTTAGGGCTTGAAACACATCACTTGTAGCTCTTCTTTCCTTGAGGGTTTGCGTTGAGAAGTCTGCTGTGATTCTGATGGGCTTTCCTTTGTATGTGATTTGTTGCTTTTCTCTAACTGCTTGCAGAATTTTGTTCTTCTGTTCAGTTTCTGGAATCTTAACATTTATAAGCCTGTGTGTAGTTTTTTTTTTTTTTTTGATCAAGGCTATTTGGAGTCCTATATGCCTCACTTGTCTGTATGTCAAGCTCTTTTCCCCTGCTCGGGAAGTTTTCTGCCATCACTTCTGTGAATAGTTTTTTTATGTCATCTGCACTCTTTCCTCTTTCTTTATCGACTCCAATCAGTCTTATGTTATTCTTCTTTGATCGCCTAGCAGCTGCTGGATTGATTTCTTGTGGTCCCTTACAATTTTAAAGCAATTTTTCTTTTCCTGGTCACTAATTGCAATCTTATCTTCTATATCTGAAATTCTGTCTTCACATTGGCTCATTCTGCTGCATAGACTTTGAATCGAGTTTTTAATCTCCTGGAAATCTATTTGCTTCTGTTTTATGGATTCCATTTGTTTCCTATGTTGGGATTCCATCATATTCCTCAGCTCTATTTTTTTTATATGTGTCCTCTCTAGATTTATTAATCATGTCTTGTGCTATGGGCACAATCTCTGCTGTTATGTGAGAAATTATTTCTGATTTCATTTTTTCCAGATCCTCTTTCATTGCTAGTTCAGGGAGCCCAGGTGGTTATCAGAGTGTTCCATCTTGTTTCCCTTTGGGGTTGCTGTAGGTGATCTGGAAGTCTGGTTTTGTGGCTTATTTGCATGTCTTCTCATTTTGAACGGGACAGGGGGAGTTTTGGGGGGTGCTGCTGGCACTGCCTGGCTCACCTCCTCTGTGCTAGGAGCTGTAGCATGCCTGCCTGGAAGCCTCCTCTGTGCTGGGAGCCATAGCATGCCTACCCAGAAGCCTCCTCTGGGCTTGGAGCTGTGGCACCCTGACCCAGAAGCCTCCTGTGTTAGCATTTTGAATGAGGTGTGGGGGAATGACTGGTCTAATAGGTCTGAGGGGTCCCCTCAGTTTAGTTCATAAAGGGTTTTTGTGAGTATTCCAAAACCTGGAATTCAGAGATAGAAATAGCCAATGATTCCCAAAAAGGAAAGGAGCTGTTATACCATGGTTGGGGTTGGGATCTGATGTAGGTGGTGGTGGTGAGAATGCAAGTGTATTTGTGAGGGGTATGGATAATAGGATACTGATGGGGAGCAAATTTGGTCCTTGGAGGGAGAGACTTGATATCCCCTCTTTTCTAGGTGTTGGAGGGAAAGGGTGACTTGATGACAGGACTCTGAAGAAAGGCTGCAGAGGAAGAGATTGTCTACATATTGTAATAAGCAGGAAGCAGTGGGGCAAAAGGAAAGAAGGTTGTGAGCAAGGGCTAGGCTGAAATAGTGAGGGCTACCTCGAACATCTTGGGGCAGTACTGTCCAGGCTAGCTGCTCTGATTGGGTGGATGTATAGGTCTGTCCATGTAAAAACAAAAAGGGGCTGCAAGTCAGGGTGCAGAGGGATGGTAAAGAAAGCATCTTTAAGATCAGAGGACTGAGTAATGGGTGGTGGTTGAGGTTAGTCGAGGTGGTTGAGGGAATAGAAGGAATAGAGAGGAGCATATATGCATCTGGGGCCATAGGATGGATGGGGAGAACAATTTGGTTGATGGCTCAGAGATCTTGTACTAAGCAGTATGATTGATAGGACTTGTGGACAGCAAGGATGGGGATGTTGAATAGGGAGTTAGTGGGAATCAGGAGGTTATGTTTGAGAAAGTAGGTTTTAGTTCTTGGGGGGCTGGATCAGGTAGGGGTTATTGATGCTGGGCAGGATAGGGATGGTCCTTTTTGTAGGGGGATTTGGAGGGGCAGGTGATGTTGAGTAACAGAGGGGGTTGAGATGTCCCAAATGCATGGATTAAGAAAGGGAGAAGATATAGGGTAGGAGTAGGGCATAGTGGTAAGTGGGAGAAGGATGGTGATAGGGTGGGGAGCAGAGCCTGGAATAGTGAGGGTGGTGGAGAGTTTTGTTAAAATATCTCATCCAAGGAGCAAGATTGGACAGGTGTGAATAACTAGAAGTGAATGAGTAAACATTTGGCTTCCCAATTGGCAAAACAGTAGAGGAGTTTTGAGAGAACTGGACACAGTAATTGAGGCTAAAATTAGCTGTCCTAAGTGTCAGGTAAAAGGCCGAAAACCAAGACCAGACCAGGCCACAACAAGCCTTTATTAGGGGAACAGATCTGCTGGGCTGTCTTCTCTGAACAAAGGAGAGACAAAAGCAATATGGCCAGGACAGGAAGTGCCTTTTATAGGAGTGGGGGTGGGGCTTGTAGGAGCTGAGGTGGAGTTGAGTGAGGTAGCGACTAGGGACTGGAGGAGCCTGTGATGTCACTAGTTGCTAGGAGGAGAGCAAGTATTAGGTTACTCTTTTGGTGGGAGTAGGGGCATGTTGGAAAGAAGGTAGGTATTATATACAGCAGCCACCTTAAATTGGAGGGAAATCTATCATTCCAGGCTCTTGTTTTATGGTTGTTGGGTGAAGGTCTCTTCTTCTGGAGCTGTTTCAAGCTGACAAATGGGCAAAGGGTAGGGGTAAACCTGGATCTGATGTGGCCAGCGGTAGGTGGGGGCTTTTCCCTCTGCCACAGTGGCTGGTACCCCACCATGATGAGCTCCATGACTGTCTGGTTGGTAAATGTCCTCATGTGTTTCTGCAAGAAAATTTGAAAACAGTGAAACAAGCACGGTACAAAGCAGAGGATCAGACATATAATACTGATGGGTCCCAAGAGTAGTAATAGCCAGGGCAGCCATGAGCTCCAGGAACCAAACATATCCCATCATTGATTAGTACCTTGGGGAGCATATATATCTGGCCCATTGAGTCTTAAGTCTTTTTCATTTGATATGTAAATTTTTTTCATTATTTACATAGGTTTTACAGAGACAGCTGGATGTTTAGGGGCTCATCTGTTATAGAAGTAAGAAATCAGAGCTCATGATCTAAGGGCCCATATGTCATGTCCTTGCTCTGAGAGAATGAGTGGAAAAGTGATAAACACAATTTATATAATCTGTATAATTTTTTTTGGAGTATAAAAGTTGTATGTAACTGAACAAATGTCTTTTGGAGGCCAACATACTGATGAGTGTAGCGTTACTATGAACCTGACTTGTCCTTTAAATTCAAGGCCATGAAAACACATTTTAGGTTGATAGTTCCAGCAAAGCCATGGAATAGTTGTGTAAAGGACAGTTTTATTCCTGTATCTCTCAGTTTTTGGAGGCAACCTAGATATATTTAAAAATAAAGAGAACTGATAACCTGAACAAGGACACTGGCCAACTTAAGGAGATCAAATGTAACATAAAAGGCTTGATTTTTTTAGACACAGGTAGGTATCCAGGAAATATGAGCACAATGAAAGAAGAGGCATCATAAACAGAGAATAAGGATGTACATTATTTTAAAAGGAATAAATCTTGTAGCTGCTCGGTATAGAATGTATCCTGACTGTGGCTGACAAACAGGTGATTTTTTTTCCCAATACTCTTATTTTATGTTTTTTTTTTTTTTATCACCGCACGATAGTTAATTAGTTATCGCAGAATCAAAAAATCACTTATCTAAAAGGAGAGATTTGGAGACCAGTGATTTCTAGGATTGGACAACTGTAAAGAACTTATTTTAATTTCTCTGAAAAGAATCTATACACACTTGTAGCTAATTAATGATTTTCCCTTTTTATTTAGTCCTCAGAGTTTTGCTTTTGAAATGGTTGTGTCATGACTGAAAAAAAAACATTTTTATGGATGGGCTATGTCTTAATTTTTTGAAGTCTAGCTTTATTATTATGTCATTGTTTTATACCTCTTTTGGTTATTTTTTCTGCAGGGTGTTTAAGACCAAGTTAAAATGAGACCTGTGTCAATCAATATTAACCTCTTATTACATATCAAGGTCAGTTAAGTCTCCCCAGGCCATTACTTTGGAGCCATGCATAGAGCCTCTCTGTTCCTCTGTCAGTGTCAGCTGTCAGGATGGGTCATGAGCTTACTTGTCCAAGTTGCTTTCAATGAAAGTGTGGGAGATTTTTTCTTGGTGACCCTCCTTTGGCACACAGAACATTGTCCTCTGGTGTCCAGCAATCTCCCTGTTTAGTAGGTTGAGTGACTTACCAAAGATGTAGGACCCTGCAGAGAAGGTTCCCTCATGTCCTGGATCTTTGTTGACCTTGAGAGGCTGGGGCCAAGATATTGACTGTCCTCATAGCCCAGTTATCTTTCTAGTTTTGGTCTCCAAACTTTAGTTGTTGAACACCCAGAAGAGATGGTCAATAGCATTAGCATTGTAACAAGAGTAATGAAGTTAACTATTATAATTAAATAACAAGCATTTTGGAATTTAAAATATATTGTCATCAGTCATGGTTGTTTTAGTAGTTGAATTCCTGTAGAATATTAACAGAAAAAGAGCCACAAATAATATTTTAACATGACAATTATGATGACTTTACCTTTGTAACACATTAAAATGTACATCTTGATATAAAAAAATAGCCATTGTTAAACATACTCATGTTTTAAAAACACCAAAATATTTTACCTAAATTATTATATTTTTAAAAAAAAATTATCTTTTGATAGGCTACTATCTAAAGAAAATATCTCACCCCATAAATGTATGTTATCATAAATAGCTGGAGTGTATGAAAAAGGCAAATATCTGAATCAAAAAGAGGTTATTATTATAAATAAATATTAGAAAACCCATACAGTCAGCAAGTATAAATACATATAGTATATCAGAAAAAATAAAACCTTGTTATTGTTGTTTTTTACAGGATATTTAGTCCTTTGAAAATTATTTAGAATTTATCCCTTTGATGATAACTGATGTAAACATAGTATAATAATATATTTAAGGAATATTTATTGATGTAAGTCTTTTATAAGGCTATGAAAACTATCGGGTCAGTCTGTTGTAAGACTGAAAACTGTTGAGGTACCAATAGTGAAAAAAACAGTTCCTTGTGGCCGCTCCTTTGTTTACCAAGGGGAGCATGCCTTGAACTTAATAACCTTTATCTATAAACAAAACAGCTGTACAATTGGACAAAAAACAAAGATATAAGACAATTTCTAAAACTAGAGTGCACTCAAATATATTTAGCCCAATGGAATTATAAT